GCCGCCATTTAGACAGCTATCCATCCAACAACACACCAGGGTCTTTCTTGGATGCCTAAAGTTTAGATTTTTTGGGACCAAGGCAATGATTCCTCCTAGATCAAGAATCATGTGGCCAAACTGGTGTAAAAAAAAATGTAAGTTTGTTGAAATTTCTGGAATCGTCGAATTGTTGACCTAATTTCCTCAATCTTCTTTATTCTGGACCATTTTATTAGTCCATGGGTGTATCTAACAAGGTTTGGCACCTTGGAATGGGAGATTTCAAGGTGGAAGTGATTGAGCTGTAGCTACTTGACCTGGGGGGTCAATTTGGCATTCAATCCAGAATTTCCCAGGAATGTGTCCCAGTCGCTGTGTCGGTAACCAGACACGGTAGGACCACTACAAAAGTGACCAATATACCTATATGTATCGACTTTGAGTGTTTTTTTCAATGGTGCGGCAGAAATGAGATTTGTTGGTCTGGTTTTCTGTTGACCCGTCCCAACATTGAAGGAGTTCTGATTGAATGATTCGAAATTCCATGTATTCTAGACTGAAATTTGCAACTTTTGTTGCGTATACCACTAGTCTATGTAGATTAAGCAATAATACATATTAAAATATCAAGATTTGTAATCAAGACGAGGTCTTATCGTAAAGATGGAGGCCTTGCCTCTTGTAGTATAATTTTGGTTGGATATGCAGTCGATTAAGTCAAACTGGTATCCGACTCGATCGATCATGCGTTCTCTACCACGGCTACGGATTTTCCACGATATCCAGTCTGATCTCGGTTTGGACTTTATGGCGCAGGATCATCTCCAAGTGTTTGTACACTTGCTTGCCAAAGGGGTGAGGAACACCAAGGCCTTGATAATCCACCGGGGCAAAGACCACCAAACGGGGAAAGTTGCGGCAAACACCTGACTTAGGTAAGCACACCTGGAGAACCGGTGACATAATGTCCTGCCATTGTTGAGCGTTGAGGGTAGTGAGTGCCATAGGATATTCAAGCTTCTTCAGGATTGTGGTCCGGATTAAGGGTAACACGTCGTACTTGTGTAGCAGGTGAGGCCAAAGCTGTTTGGCCCACGCTTTAGCTTTAGAGACCAACTGTGCCTCCTGTGCGTTGTGATTTTCCAGTGGCGACAACATCACCCCCAGAGTACGTTCGGAATCATCTGGTTCAAGGCGACGAAGGGGTTCAATGTCACCGTATAACCCCGGTATCTTAAGGTCGAATTCCGGTGCCGCGGAGCATTTCCTACGGAATCTCCACTGACCATTGCGAGCATCCCATTCAAAGTCAATAAGCCACCAGAAGGACTTCTCCGGATTGATTGCACCACCTGTTACCATTCCCTTGCCCACAACCTTGGAATGGCACCGCTGACGGAGGGCGAAAGCTTCTCTTGGAGTCACCAAACCTGTGCGAACACGGTGGGTAGCGGAGGAGAGCATGTTGAACATCGATGATAGGACACGCCATGTCAAGCCAAACCGCAACATTGTGACGATGGCCACCCAGTGGACAACATGGTCAAAGCAGGACTTGGCATCATTCGAGATCCACCCCGCTGTGCGGCGTTGAAGGATCAGTAGATCCCACACTAATCGTTTAGACAAGGCCAGGTCAATTGCTTGATGACGTTTGCGTGAGCCGCATTGCCCGTCGGGTATCAAGGAGTGCGCTTTGGCAAATTGCATGGCTGCACGGCCTGCCTTCTTATTGTTTGCCTGGGCCTCTGAATTCATCAGCTGGATGGTGCGCATTTTAGATAGGCGGAAGTCTCCTGGCTTCTTTTCAATGGCAAAGTTCATCAGGTTTTGCCATTGAAGAGGAACAAACCCTGTGGTGAGAGCAATGTTCCGGAAGAGGGCATCACAGTACGCTATAGATGGAGACTGGATAGCCGCCTGAAAGTGTCCATTATGTAGTCCATGAGGTTTGGATCCTTTATTCTCAGGGTTCCGCGACCAGAAGTACACGTGATCCTTGGAGACTTGCAAGTGGACTGGAGAGTGCCCTTTGTGAAACCGGCAGTGAGATAAGAAAGAAGCCATAGCTGGGTCCAACAGATCAGGTAATGTGTAATGGCCTTCTAACAATGCCAGAGAATTTATTTCAGCATTGTCACCGGTAAATTTGCCATATAACGGCTCAGCCATAGGTGGAGTGGTATACGGCACTCGTGTTTGATCATAGCATGCCGGGTTTTCTTGCATGCACCCATCTTCTACCAGGCGGCGGTCAGTGATGGTCCGGAGACTCGTAGTACCATCTGGTAAGTGTTCTTCAATTTAAATAGCCTGAAGGCCCCCTGTAGATTCTTTGCTCTGGGCGCAACGACGGCATCTTGCCTCCTCTCTTTGCTTCATTTGTTGTAACCAAAAGAATCTATCACGGGCCTTCCGAGACTTCCACGGATGCTTCTTTGCGTCCTTGGTTTGGACTGTCAAGAAGTCTTTCTTCCATTGAGCTGCGTAGGTGTGTTTGGCCTGCTTGGACAAGGAGCGCTCTTGCTTCAGGCAGTCCTCCAGATCAACCGCTGACTTCCTCCAAGCTTGTGGCAACTCTGTCTTCTTCATCAACCGGCGAACTTTGCGCAAACTCACACGGCAACCCTTCTTGCCTTTCAACAGAAGCTTCCAAAGGCTCATACAATCCCAGAATCCCTGCATTTTTGGTGACCAGGGAACTTTACCTGGAGCTAAGGCCGGGCACCTCTCTTCCGCCTGGCGCTTCACAGTATACATTTGTCTGTGTAAACAGTTGTATTTGCGCACCAAGGAAGGGGTCATCTGGTGTCCCAGGTGGTCAATACGCTTATTCAGCTTATTCAATCTCTCCGGGATGGAGTACTTGGCATAACCTTTGTGAACCAATTGAAGATATTTGCGTACAGATCGAGAGTCTTGGAGGGACAACTTCCGTGGCTTGAATTTGGATTTCTGAGGTTGGAAGTTCCCCAAGGAGGCGGAAAGATCAATATCAATCCACAAGCCGCGATGATTGCAATTGAAGAATTCGTCAAAGGCGTAGTACCCACCCGCAAGGATTGGTACGCCCAAAGTGGTGAAGATACCATCAATCGGAATGTTCCGTTGGTTGCGCTGGTGGGTTGCTTGTGGTGGATGGTGTTTTAGGATTGCCTCCTCAAGACCGCAGGCCCAGAAGCGGTGGCGGATAGACTGGGGTGCGTTAACAGTGACATCCTCGTTTGCATCTATACCCAAAACCACCTCACATCCTTCATCACGCCATTTGGTGATCTGTTTGCAAAGATCGTCCACAAAGGCTTTCCTTGGATCAACTTTTCGATTCACTGCATGAAAGTGAAGCCTGTGTTGTGCCCATACTGTAGATCCACCGAGGCCTTGCTTGTTCGGACGATACGCGGAGACCACCACCAAGTCCTTGGAGATCGGACCACGAACTAAGTCATTTACCTCAACCAAAGAGTCCTGAACATTACCCCCATGGGCTTTCAACTTCCTTCCTTCCTTGAAGACAAACATAGACCTATCGTCCTAAACCCGTGGGGTCTCTGCCAGCTTCCTTAGCCCTGTGCGTCACTCGGTTCAAAACGGTTGGGATGCACCCGCCCCATTGTACCGCCAAGGTGGCAGCAGATCTGTCCTGATGCCGATTGTAAGCTACCAACGAGCAAAACCCTTTTTGCTCGGACTTCATCGTAGCTTGGCGGAGTCTGTCACTCCAACCGTGACCTTCATTGATAGAAGGCCAAAACGTCTTGGCCTCGGCCAACAACGCAGTTCCCACTCGTTCTTCCTTCAGCCAGGAGGTGATCTGTTGCTGCTTGGAGTCATTGCCATTTTCTGGTAATCCGTTGACATTCTGGAAACAGATTCGAGTAGCCAGTGAGGAATGACGGCGGTGATCATCGCCAGAGTAATCCCCTGCTGGAAGAGAACGTAAAATATTTGTCAAGTGAAGCATGGGAGACTCCACTTGACGGGCCACTAATACGGGATCTTCTGCCTGCACGCCGTGACCTAGCTGCAGATGATTGTGGGCCTCTCATGGCCCCTCCGCGGAGCAGGGAGCTCCGCAGGCGGACCGAGAGGATTTACTGGCGCCATCACTGTGCGCCTTCCCAGGAGGAGGAGAGAAGAATGGAGACCCTCCACCTCGCGGAGTAGACGCAGTAAGAGATGAGGTTTGACTCTCATCTTGAGACGCGGCAGTAGTGTTGTCTCCTTCCATGAAGACATGCCTACTTGAACAGCCGAGGCTGCCGAGGGTTGGGCAGAAGATGGTTCCTGAAATTGGACACCTGCACTTGTGCGGGCCTTCTTGGCTGGTTGTTTTGGTGGCTTGCCCTGCTTGGTGGCCTTCTTTGGTTGTGTCATTGTGTTGGGAACCATGGTGCTCTGCCCGGTGGATGACTTGCCTAAGGTTTTGTTGCTGGATCTGACCGGTGGAGTCAATGCTTGACGGTCAAGAGACAAGCGATTGTTGTGGGGGTAGAGTGGCAGATGGCTGACTCATCATGGTAGGTAGATGGCTGGCCTGACTCTGGAGGGCAGCAAGCTGTTCTTGCAGTGCCGCATTGTCCGCACGTTGTTGTGCCAAGGCGCGTTCCTGAGCCTCCAGTGCATTGTCCCAAATCTCAATCTCATTGAAGGCATCTTCCAGTTGTTGCTCCGGTTCCTGCATCTTGTCCATCATTCCCGTCACGGTCTTCCCATCATCAATGTCTTTGTTGTTAGCCATATCCAAATCAATTGAAAGTTGACCATCGTAGACATCCGTTGCGTCTTCCATCACATTATCCAGAAACTCCAGTGCTTCCTCAACCGCGTCTGGCGAGGCGGTAGCCTCCACAGCACGAAGTGTCTTTGTGCACCATTTGAGGTTCTTACGTTGAGCCATACTGATCTCTGATTGCGGCACCCATTTACGGAGGGCTTGATCGGTTTTTGTCAGAGTTGGCTCATACAGGTGATGAGTCAGAAAAGGGACCAAGCCCTTCAAGACGTTACAAGCCAATTGTTTAAACTTCTTGCGACACACCAGGATGTAGGTGCCCTCCATCTCGCCTGGTAGAACCATCAAGAACAGCGGACCGGGCTTGTGACGCACCTGATCATTCTTCAGCTTACGGTCAGCAACTTCAGCCATTTTCCGTTGGGCTGGGGAGAGATCGTTAAGGAACGGATTCTCATTATCAGTGATCAACTTCTTCTTCTCCTTTGCCTTCTTTTTCACCTTTGTTGCCGCCTTCTTAGACCAAACTTCTGTGAATTGGCCGCCTTTAGAGCCAGAGGATTCATTGGGATCGTCGTCAGAAGAGTCATTGTCTGAGTCATTGTCTGAGTCATCAGCCTCAGTTGTTGATTGGTGGGCATGAGAAGCTTTGTCGGCTTGAGCTGGGGTTGCCTTGATCAACAGGAGAAGCTTAAACAAGGTGCATGAGCCAAACATAGTAGTCGTTGCGAACTTGAACATCCCAGGAAGATCCATGACCGAATAGAATATAGGACCTCTGTCAGGATGTAGTAATCATGTAGTTTGCTAATAAGGGTGAGGGTAGCATCCTTGACCGGACTGTAGGCCTTCACACTGATCAATCCCTGTTGAGCAGACTTCCAATCACTAATAAATGTAGCCGGAGCAGCAAAGGGGAAGTCTGGCTTTGCTGTGGATGGATTAAGAAGGCTTCTTAATTCTCGGTCCACTCTTTTGGCATGAATCTTGTGAGTGTACCCATGAGGACTTGTTACACCGGAGGAACGTTCATTGAATTTAGCACGTCCTGTGTAAGGTGTAGAAACCAAATCCATCTTGATCCCAATAGGGATAGAGAAGTCAAAGTGACGCATGATTTCTTTTGCATAGGCTTCGAAGTTAACCTCCGGCGGAATGAAGGCAAAGCAACCCACTTTAACAATGTCCCCATATTGAAGCGGCAAAGGGTAACATCCGGCACCGCGACCCTGGGAACGGAGACCAGTGTGAAGATAGTCCTGTACTGCCTCTTCCGACATGTCCCTTGCAAAGCCGACCCGCATTCGGGTACATAGTTTCTTCTCACCAGGCTTGGTGTTGGTTGCTGCATAAGGATAATTCCCATATTCCATATGGCAGTAAAGACTCCGGGCCCGGTAGGACAAAATTTTGTTTCGTAACTCAACCGAGTTCAGGATCCACCGGTTCTGTTGTTTATAAGTGTCGTCGGAGATAGGGAGGATCTTCAACTCGTGAAAGGAGTTGTTCAAAGCTTCCACAGCAGATAAAATTGCCTCAGCAACCGTGCCGGATTCCAATCCCGAGTAATTTGTTGCAAATGTGGTCTCAAAAATATGACATCTGCAAGTTAACTTGAAT